TGCTGGGTACTTGCACTTCGACTTCGAGCTGAGGCGCCCTGCGGCGCTGACGAAGGCTGATGTAAATGCGCGGTTGAAGGAGTGTGCGTATGCGGCCGTGTGGGCGCTGTATGAGCCGCGGCCCCTGCAGGAGGAAAAGAAGGCTGTTACGACGCACGAGCTTGGCTTTGAGGGCGAGGACTGGGACTACGTGCTGGAGCGGCGGCGCGCGGAGGTGAAGGACGTGCTGGCCGTCGAGACGGCGCGGGCGTTGGGACTCGAGCGTGAGGACGTGCTGGAGGTGGAGGTCGACGCAGTGCCTCGGAGCCTCATTGCGTTTGTCACGGTCCGTCATCCATCACTGCTGAGCGACCGCCAGGTGGAAGAGACGCTGGCGCGCTGCGAGTACAGGAAATTGTGGGCGCTGTACGAGACGCGGCCACTGGAGTCGTCAGTGCTGATGAGGCGGTTTGAGGGCGACGACTGGGACCTCGTGGTTGACAACAACCGCAGGAAGCTTGAGGACGCGTTCAGCAGGGAGACGGCCGCCGCACTGGGCGTGTCGCCGAGGCAGGTTGTGCTTCTGGACTGCAGGGTTGGCAGCCTTCTCATGGTATTCAAGGTGCTTGGATGCGCCATGAGCGACGCAGAGATCACGGAACGGACCGAGGCGCACCCGTACGACGAGGTGTACGCACTGTACAGGCCACGCATACGCTCCTTTGAATGCGTCGACGCAGCAGTGCCCCGCGGCTTCAGGGCCGACGCGGATGAAGTATGGACGAGGAGCCGCGTGGAGTTTGAGGGCGAGGACTGGGACTACGTGCTGGCGATGAGGGAGGCGGATCTGCTGCGTGCGTTTTCGAACGCGACGGCCGAGGCGTTTGGAGTGGATGAGGACCACGTGCGCGATGTGTCGGCGAGGTACGTTGCTGGTAACTTGCACTTCGACTTCGAGCTGAGGCGCCCTGCGGCGCTGACGAAGGCTGATGTAAATGCGCGGTTGAAGGAGTGTGCGTATGCGGCCGTGTGGGCGCTGTATGAGCCGCGGCCCCTGCAGGAGGAAAAGAAGGCTGTTACGACGCACGAGCTTGGCTTTGAGGGCGAGGACTGGGACTACGTGCTGGAGCGGCGGCGCGCGGAGGTGAAGGACGTGCTGGCCGTCGAGACGGCGCGGGCGTTGGGACTCGAGCGTGAGGACGTGCTGGAGGTGGAGGTCGACGCAGTGCCTCGGAGCCTCATTGCGTTTGTCACGGTTCGTCATCCATCACTGCTGAGCGACCGCCAGGTGGAAGAGACGCTGGCGCGCTGCGAGTACAGGAAATTGTGGGCGCTGTACGAGACGCGGCCACTGGAGTCGTCAGTGCTGATGAGGCGGTTTGAGGGCGACGACTGGGACCTCGTGGTTGACAACAACCGCAGGAAGCTTGAGGACGCGTTCAGCAGGGAGACGGCCGCCGCACTGGGCGTGTCGCCGAGGCAGGTTGTGCTTCTGGACTGCAGGGTTGGCAGCCTTCTCATGGTATTCAAGGTGCTTGGATGCGCCATGAGCGACGCAGAGATCACGGAACGGACCGAGGCGCACCCGTACGACGAGGTGTACGCACTGTACAGGCCACGCATACGCTCCTTTGAATGCGTCGACGCAGCAGTGCCCCGCGGCTTCAGGGCCGACGCGGATGAAGTATGGACGAGGAGCCGCGTGGAGTTTGAGGGCGAGGACTGGGACTACGTGCTGGCGATGAGGGAGGCGGATCTGCTGCGTGCGTTTTCGAACGCGACGGCCGAGGCGTTTGGAGTGGATGAGGACCACGTGCGCGATGTGTCGGCGAGGTACGTTGCTGGTAACTTGCATTTCGACTTCGAGCTGAGGCGCCCTGCGGCGCTGACGAAGGCTGATGTAAATGCGCGGTTGAAGGAGTGTGCGTATGCGGCCGTGTGGGCGCTGTATGAGCCGCGGCCCCTGCAGGAGGAAAAGAAGGCTGTTACGACGCACGAGCTTGGCTTTGAGGGCGAGGACTGGGACTACGTGCTGGAGCGGCGGCGCGCGGAGGTGAAGGACGTGCTGGCCGTCGAGACGGCGCGGGCGTTGGGACTCGAGCGTGAGGACGTGCTGGAGGTGGAGGTCGACGCAGTGCCTCGGAGCCTCATTGCGTTTGTCACGGTCCGTCATCCATCACTGCTGAGCGACCGCCAGGTGGAAGAGACGCTGGCGCGCTGCGAGTACAGGAAATTGTGGGCGCTGTACGAGACGCGGCCACTGGAGTCGTCAGGTGCCGTGAGACCCAGGTTGATTGTTGCGGAAGAGGTTGAGGCGGAGTTGGATTCGATAACGTTTTTGCGTAATGCTCTTCGTCGTGCTAGAAGGGAGCGTGACGAGTATTTGGCTTTGCTTGATCCGTTGCTTGGTTTGCGTGGCGAGCGGCAGAGAATTCTTGATTCACTTGATGCCGCTTAGTGTGTAGTCTTTTGTGTTGTGGATATACATATGTATATATGTATATATATTTCTTGATGCCGTTGTTGTTCGGACTGGAGTAAGTGGGGAATATTTTTGTGTGTGTTTTTGTGTGGGGTGTCGTTGTATGACTTATGCGGGGACCCTCGTTAGCTGTTATGAGGCCGGTGTACGTGTTGATGTGTCTGGGCGGGTGAAATTGTAAAGCGGAGGGGAGGGATGCTGATTTGGGGCGGTGGGTACCCACACAGCCACATGTAATGAGAATAGGTTTATATTTTTATATTTATGCGTTTGTTTGTGTTTATCCGCATTGTTTTTCTTACAAAAAACTTTTTTTTCTTTTTTTTTTTTTTTTAAATACCAATGCTATATTGTGCGCATCCGTGTGTGTTGCTGCTTTTCATGTATTTCAATGGTGTGCCACTGTGGATGTTTGTGTGGGCCTGTTCTTTTTTTTCTTTTTTTTCTTTTTTTTCTCTCTCTTTCTCCCGTTATATATATATATATATATCTGTGTTTAATATTTATCATTCTTCGTGTGTTCATTGGGGGCAAAAATGGCCGTGGTTTTCCTTTTTTTTTTTTTTTTTTTCTTACACGGTGACATGTAGATGCATATCCCCTCCTGCTCTCTCTCTCTCTCTCTTTCTCTCTCTCCTTTATGATGTATGCATGTTGGGGAGAGAGGAGGAAGAAGGGGAAGGAATGAGGAGGGATGGCCGTAGCGCCTCATTTATTTTGATTTTTTTTTTTTTTGTTTGCAATCTTCTGCAGGAACAAAAAAAGGAAAAACAACAGCAACAAAAAAGGAGTGCATGACGGCATGTAAGAATGGACGAGGGTACGGTGTGTTTGTGTGGGGGGGGGATGAGGAGTGTGTTGTTATGTGAACTTCAACTGAAGCGGTCTCTTCTTTTCTTCTTTTTTTTTTTTTTTTTCTTTCCGTCGTTGTGAAAATGCCTGGTGCACGCACGATAACAACTTTGATCCCCCACTTTGGGCAGAAGCGTCAGCGAAGCATAAAACGACATTACAACAGTAAAAGCATAAAACCAAAAAAAAAAAAAAAGGGAAGAAAGAAAGAAAAGAAAAGGAAAAAGGGAATAACAACAACAGCAACAAAAAGGAAGGCAATTGGTAGTATATATATATATACTGAAGAAAAAAAAAAGGGATGGCGGCTGCAAAGACGGAATTGGCAATGGAGTTAAATGACGTTGTCTGCTTTGAGCGCCTGTGCGCCGACCGGGAGTGGCGGAACACACTCGGGAAGGTGATTGGTTTCCCCACGTCAACACATGTACGTGTGGAACTCTTCGAGCGCGCGGAGCAGACCAACCACTCCGTGTCTATCGTGGATGAAAAACTGCAGGAGATGGCCACAGATACCGGCAAGTTGGCCGTGTGGGAGGAAAAGCTGGAGTTGGACCACCAGCTCCAGCAGGCGGTGGAGGAGGAAGACAAGGCATCAGAGAAACTCTTCAAGTTGCGGGACACCACGCAGCAGCGACAGTCAAAGGCGTCAGCCCGCGTACGCGAGACGATGGAGGCGCTCGATGAGGCCCGTAAAGCCATGACCCGTGTCCCACCACGTCAGTGGCGTGACGTGCGAGCTCCGGGTCGTCCGACGGAGTCTCTCGTGTCCATCTGCCGTGCCGTCATGCTGGCGCTGCAGGAGGACCGCGTCAAGAGCTGGGATGGGATGCAGGCCGTTATGCGACAACAAAACTTCACGGAGCGACTGATGCACCTGGACTGCACCGTCACACCACTGCCACTCGCACGTAGGAAGAAGATTGTGGCGGAACTCGGCGTGTTTCGCCGCGAATTACACGGCGGCAACAGCGGCGGAGAAATTGGGCGCCGCGAACCCTCAAAACTGAATCGTCAGCCTTCTGCCGCGCATGCGACCCAAATTGAGATTGCTATGCGAGATTGGTTACTGGCCCAGGTCGCCTGTTCGGAGACACGTGAGGCGGAGGAGCACGTTGTGGGTGATTTCTTTTTGGAGTATCAGGAACAAACCAATCTTGTGCGTGAGGTTAATAGCATGCGTGAAAACATCTCCGCGCTCAAGGAAAAGATTCTGGAGAAGAAGCTTGCCATCTGCGGCGACACACCACTTGCCGCACTACTAATAAAGGATGCCGAAGCCTCCAAGGACACCATGTTCATCAAGTGCATGTCTAATGGTCGTCATGTCACGGAGATGCTTTTGCGCAGCAGCGTGTTGGTTGTCTTTGGGGCCAAAAAGGAGGAACAACTGGAGGATGACGAGAATGCCTTATTTTTGTCTCTTACTCCGGAAGAGGTTATGCAGCTACGGGATGCCGCGCGAGCAGCAAACGAAGTGCACGACCTGGAGGAGATTGAGGCTCTGTACGCTTTGAGCGTGCGTGAGGAGGAAGAGATGCAGGAGTTGAAGACACGCATGGAGGAGTTACGCCATAAGGAGAACTTTACCGAGGACGACGAGGAGGAGATGCGACAACTCGATGCCGCTCTCACTGATGTGGTGCGGCGCCATGAGACGACGCAGTGGCGTATTCGCCACCTCCGGGCTTTAGGCCGCGACAAACGCTTCCTGAAGGTCCGTGATGTGCAGGATGATATGGTGTACTCGGAGCTGAATCTCACCTTTTCGGGCGACAAGTGGGGAGTACTTCTTGCGAATACAGAGTATCTCATGATGGTGGAGACGGCCCTTTGCAACGATCTCTCTCATGCCCTTGGGCTGCCACCTGGGAACATGAGTAACTTCCGTTTTGCCATTAAGTCGCTCTTGGTGAAACTCACCGTAAAGCACAGCAGGGACGTGACGGCCGAGCAGCTGCAGGCTCTTGCCAATGAGGCGGAATTCTTAGGACTCCGCGGTTTATACGAACGTATCACGTTCAGAAAGTCATACCCGCTCAACACGCCGTCGCAGCGGCTGGAGTACGAAGAGATATTGCGTATGCAGCGTATTAAGGAGAACTTTGCAGGGGCAGGACTGCCGGAGAAACTGGAGGACTTTGCCGATGACAGTGAAGGTGAAACCGACGATGAGAACTACCGACGTCCAGTCGTGGAGATTGCAACGGTGCGCTACGAGTACGGTCTTGAGGCGCGATACGGCTACCCGACTCTGGCACACGTGGGTGTCCCTGCCGGGTTTGAGGCTTTGTTCGAAAAGGGTAGGACACAACTGAGGGCAGCCATGTATCCAGAAGAGGAGGAGGAAGCGGCAGAGGCGGTGGAGAATGCGGCCGTCGAGGATGCAGAAGAGAAGCTGGACAGTGTCGAGAAGGAGCCCACGGCGGAAGAGCCTTTGGGAAACACGGAGGCCGAAGCAACCGCAGTGGAGGCTGAGGATGTGCATGCCGTTCATACCGATCATGTCGATGCCGCTGACCATTTCGAGCACGCCGAACTCAGTGAGCATGCCGAACTCAGTGAGCACGCCGAACTCAGTGAGCACGCCGAACACAGTGAGCATGCCGAACACAGTGAGCACGCAGAACACAGTGAGCATGCCGATGCTGTCGGGAGCGCCGAAGGTTTCTTGGAACCCAAGGAGACGCTAGAAGCGCCGAAGGATGGAGAACAGAGGGATCCGGACAGCCAGGACAAAGAGACACACGAGCTGTAGCCTTTATGATGGAGATCCCTCTACGTGTTTATGTGGCATGTATATGTATGCATGTATGGTGGCCCTGTGCGGCTCACTGCTTCTTTTCGGTTCAGCCACTTTTTTGGGTGGCCGTCGGACGGCCATGAGGAATAGAGAACATGGGGAGGAACAAGAGTCGACACAGAAGCAATCAGAATTTACGTATTTGGGGGCAAGCAATTGAGAGGGAAACAAAACAAACTAAAAAAAAAATAAAAATAAAACAAAAAAACAAAGCAAGAGGTAATAGGGGGAGCTTAGAAATTAACGGACTGTGATGTCGATGAAATATGTATTTTTCCATTGTGAATTTGACCTTGTTTCCGTCACCCGCTGAGTTTCTGTCTGCATTTCATGAAGACCGTTTACATTTCCCCCCCTCACCAGACGAAACAACAACAACAACAACAACAACAAAACAAAACAAAAAGAAGCCATAATAAAATTAATTTGACAACCGCGCGTGGGGAATATGTGGGGAGGGACTCAGAAGGGAGAGAGGAGGAAGATACATGCATATAAGTGAATGAAAAGAGGGAGAGGGGGGGGGGGGGGGTGAGGGAGGGAGGGAGATGAACGAAGAACAGGGGAGTGAAGCTATGATGTACCCAAAGAAGAAGAAGAAACAAACAAACAAACAAACAAACAAAAAAACAAAAAAACTATTTTAATCCAGTTGATAACGTTTTTCTTTCTTTCTTTTTTTTTTTTTGTGATACCCGTGTGGTTCTTTTTTTTTTTTTAAATTTATTTACTTTCAAGAGAAGTGCCTCCAACAGCGCGACACGCAAACGTTATTTGCTTTCCCGTTAACACTGTGGTGAGAAAAAAGGAAAATTAAAAAAAAAGAAAAGAAAAGAAAAGAAAAGGAAGGGTTTGTAGGGGGAAAGGGGGAAGGAAATATTAGTATTCCTGTATGTCATTCTAGGTGCACATATATATATATGCCTGTTGTTGTCGTTCTTAATTTCCAGGACCCGCATGTGTGTGTGTTTGAGTGTTTGAGGGTGAGTATGAGTACTTGTGCATTCTTTTTTTTTTCTCTTGTTGTATTGGCATTTTTGCTGACCTTTTTTTTTTTTTTTGTATTGGATACGTGTGAATGTGCCAAACTCTCGTTAGCTTCCGTTCCTCCACCGCAGCAAAACGGTCAAATAGGATACATCTCGGTAGATTGTCATCAGTTTGGTGGCTGCAGGGAGGCTTATTAGGAGGTGTGTGTGAGTGTGCGTCTCTTTTTTCTGGGAGTGACGAGCGCTCAACACGGATTTTATCTGTACGCATCGAACGGGAACAGAGAGGCAAAACATAGAGGATGTTTAGGAGGCGGTGGGGGCTGCTTGCTGCAAGCCACACTACACGTCGCGTTACGACCACAGCGCTGTGGTGCGCCAAACGGAAGTACGGTCGGATGTGGGAGCCCTCTTGCGGAACACGCAGGAGGACGACGGTGACTTTTTCAACCATGTGGCGTTGCCGTGACCGCGTTGCGGTGTGTGCGTGGGTGCGTCTGGCGAGTAGTACTTCTGGCGGTAGCAGCGGCAGCAAAGACATTGACGTTGTTGACGAGACAAAACCCATCCACATCCGTGTTGCGGAGGAGAAGGACTCGCAGATTTTCACCATGCAGGATTATATTGAGCGTGAGGAGGCGGAACTGAATGCTTCTAGGTCCCTTGGCCAGAGGCTTTCCGACGCGCGCGACAACCCTGTTTGGATGTTGTGGGCGCTGTTTTTTCTCTCACTCGGTGTGATGACTGTTGTTGTCTCCATTCGAGTGCGGCGCGAGCAGATGCGCTTTGACCCCAAGTTGAGGGCCGTGAAGGCCTTTGACAGTCCCGATGGACCGAGCATTGGTGGCCCCTTCTCGCTTGTCGGCG